TGACTTGACTTTATGCCACTGGTAAGGGAAAGAATACCAAACTACAAGTAAGCAAGCTCTGAACCTCTGTCTCATGGATCCCTTTCAAATAAAGAAACTGGGACATGGCGGTTTAACCATGAGCTTTCCTCCTGGAGAAACGCCCTGGGCAAACTGAGGACAATGACCCTGTTCTGGGATGCAATTTTGAAAATCATTTTAGGTAAACGCAAAACATTTTGTCCAACCTTAACTGAATTTTTTTTCTTTTTTTTTTTTCTGAAGCTGTTTCATCTTCTTTCGATCACTTTTGGTCAAGTTTTTAGTGAAAAAGGAGTGGAAAAATTCAATGATTTTACTTAATAAATGGCTAAAGGCTAGAGACCCGCCCATCTTTTCCCTCCACTGTTTTTGAAGCCTTGATCTCATGGGAACAAAGGAGCAAATAATATGCTGCAGTGTTGGTTCCTGTGATGTTACTCTCAGTGAACCCACAAAAGGCTGCCATGAAGAGTGAAGAGCCCCAGAAGGAAACTCAATGCTGTGCATGAGCAGGTATCACAGGCCCACAGGCTTCCTCTGCAGCTCCTGGCTTCTTGTCCGCTCTGTGCTTGTCACTTCACTTGCTTGGGAGCTTCTTACTAGGAAAGGATTTGCTATTTTCTGGGGAAAGGAGATAATATTAGCAAAAAGAACAGCCTGTTGTGCTGGGGACTGATGGAATGGGTTGCCAGGTCTGTGCATCGTGCAGTTGGGGAAGCATCATCAAGACTCCTCCCTCTCCCAAAGGGAAATACAGCAGCATCGTGGTGATGACGTGATTTCACAACTTTGCAAGACAATGAAAAGCCATTGGCTTGGTTGGCTGGAATTTCTGCCAAAACTGTTTTTTGATCAGTAGTTATAAACCAGGAGTAGGTAGGAGAAATAATTTTTCATTCTGAAAACCCCTCTTTTCCCATTTTTCACTACCAAAACACATTGAACATTCCCAGAAATGGATCTGCACGTGTCTTGTGAGTCTCTGTTTCTGAATCTAGCTAGGATAGGGATAATCTATCAGTTCATATAGTTGCTCTCTTATTACCACCCCTAATGTGATGAATTGTTATTGAAGGTTTCTTATAAACACCCCTGTTCCAGTAGAAACTGGTGTTGTGTTTTATCCATGGGTATCTCACTGTTGCACCTAGAAGGCACGCAGATGAGGAATGCCTCTCAAAATAATTTCCTAGCTAGGAAACGTAAACAATTCTCGCTGAGCACCAGCAGAGAACTGCAGGGTGCAGATTTTATTTCTGTGAAGTTCTATGTAAGAGCACAAAAGAAAAGCAGAAGGGAAAGGAGCCCAGCTGATGGACACAGCGGAAGCAGGGAGCAATCAGGGTGAAAGGGGGGTGGACAGTGTGGCAAAACTCATCTCTTTCCTACAAGTGATGATCACTGAGTTGAATGTCAGAAGGTAGAGCCCTCTGTCGGGTAACAGGTTTCACCCCAGACACTGACCTACCCAGTTTGGGGAATTCTCCTTATCCCTTATCCAAGCAATTGGGGAAGTAATTAACACTGCCTTCACTTTCCCAGCCTCTTTGTCTGGCAGAGCTACAGATCTTATAATAAAAAGGAAGCAATTTACTGGTGGAATAGGCAATCATGGAAAAATCTGATTCAAAGCCTGCTGAAGGCCACCACTTGTCTCCACTAAATTCAAAAGGTTTGGGATAAAGCCCTAAACTGCTGCAAACTCTGGCTCCAAAGGCAATGAGAGAGAAGGATAGGAGCTGAGTTCTCCAGTGCTCTGCAGGGTAATGCCGATAACACATCTCCTGGGACGCTGGGCAATGCCAGTCTCCCCAGCAAGGGAGCTGGGTCGCCAGTGTGCAGTCCTCTGCACTGAGGTACCTGTTGTTACTCCGGGGAGCAAAGACAATTATCAAATTCAGCCCTTGTTAGAGTTACGATGGGTCTGCATTTCACATACAATTTTCTTAATTCGTGTTATAATTACAAAAATTGTAAATAACTTTTTAATATCAATGTTTAAAAAAATTAGGCAAATCTTTCACAGCATTTTTATTGCCTATTTACAGTCTCAAATCAAATGGTTTACAGCTTTGTGTTTTGGAAATATACAGCATAAGAAAACACTAGCCTGGCAAAATTAAGCTTTTATGATAATGACAGGGATGAGTTATAGTTACTCTAGTTAAACTATAATGGCTGCACAGATGCTAGGAAAAAACTATTGTACAACATATTTTGCCACCAATAAGCATGTCACCTGCTAACTCCACCGTGGTGTATGCAAGACTTTGTTAGCATTTCATTATGAATATTATTTTCAAGGATTATAATTGAACCATAAACATTCACTTGGAGATAAAATTTCAGTGTGCAGGCCTTAAAAAAACCTTGAGAAATACTCCACCATTTTGCATACCTGGATTTCAGAAGCAAGTTTATGAGAGATAATATAGTCTTCTGAGCTTGTAGGACCCCAAAATGGTTTGCATTCTTCTCATGGTCTAGATGAATTTAGAGCAAATAAATTTAGTGGAATTTACACAGCCAGAAAATAAATCCTCCAGGCCACCATTGGCTATCAGGAAATAATAACATTTATCCATAGATGAGGTGCAGAACAGATAGCAATGACAGGAGATTCCATGTGTGCTTTGCCAAGCTGCTGCTGCAGGGCCCTTACATAGAGGGAGTGGTGGTACCCCTTGCTCTGACTCCTGAGATGCTCTTCAAGGACGCCAATGTGGCTGCTATGACCCACTGCAAGCACACTCATGCCATTCACTGGGTTTAGACTCACAAACAGTCGCTGAGATGGTAATTTAATCCAAGTGTTGTTTCCCACTGAAATGGGTGAGGAACGCTGTGCAGGTGTGACCGTGAGTCCTTGCAGAGACGGAAGCTAACTGCCAGCAGTAAAATATGTTGTGCTAAAGGACTTGATAAATGTGATGGACAGGGGCCGAGCTGATTGCACTCACCGTGGCAATCAACGGCAGTAATTGAGGTAAATAACATTGCTAAATGAATGACACTGCATAAATTTGCTCTAATTCCTTTTATAGAACATTTTAGCTGCTATACACTGTCAGTAACTATGTGAGGCTTTTGATAAATATATATTGTGTTGCTTTCTTATTAAAGCAATCTTTATAAATAAAGCAATGAAGAACTGAATAAAAGGCACTAACAGACTGTAAAATTGGAGCCAACTAGCCTGGTTCTCCTTTTTTTACATTGTTATAAATCAGAAACAACACTGTTTGTTCACTTCGCTGGAATGTCAGTGAAGCAAAACATCTCCAAAGGGAAGAACCACTGCTAAAAATCAAAGTAGATATTTATTTGTCTCAAAGATCACTATTTTTAGCGCGGGAGAATCTTTCTGAATCCGTGGCCCAACCTTTTCTTTACTCTAAACCTTTTCACTCCAGTGGACAGAGTATGAATGAAGATCAGACATTAGATATGTCATTCTCTGCCACTGAATCTGCTGTATCTTACTCAATATTAAAGGCCTGTTAATGCCTTGGGCAGCTGTATCTGACCCTTTGTATGAAGACCTCCTCTGCAGTGGATGTCTCATGCATATGCCCATTGATGTATTTTAGAGTAAAGATAATTTTTTGTTTAGGGTGTCTGCTCTGGCTTCATATTCCACAGAAAACACTGCCTGTATCTGTTTTTTCTTGCCTGTATTTCCTCCTGCTCCCTGCTATTACGTATTGTTACATTCCAGAGAAAGAGCTTTCTTATGTCCATCTTTGTCAAAACCCTAGGAGCCACTTAAACATCTTTTTACAGGGCTCTCTATCCCTTGGGTGAATTTCCCCTAATTGTATTCTTTAACTCCAAAAGGGGTTTGGGGACATAGTTTCTATGAAAGATGCTGCAGAAAACAAAGCTGCATTGCTAGTGGTTCTGCTCTTATATTTCCATCCAGGTAACTCTCTGCACGCCAATTTGCTTTCTGTTTTCCAATACCCATCTCCTCCTGGGGCGAGTTCCTGGGACAGAGCTGTTTTCAGATAATTTAATTATCATGTGGCATACACCTTTTTAGTCCCCCCTGAAATGGTGTGTGATGTCTTTGGTTTACATCACTTGTTGGAAAACACTCCAAAGCATTGAAAAACTATTAAATTGTTACAGTATTGGATGCCAACACACAGGGCTATTAGTCTAATTCATCCTTCAGATCAAAGCCCACACAGGCAGCTCTCCTGCCTACAGCTATTTTCCTTTTACTTTCCCGCTTGACAGTAGTCCCTCATATCCCTCTGTTCTGCTCTCTTTGAACATACACATTTTCCTTTAGTCATGGAAATATAATTTATGTCTATTATGCTGTATTATAGATTGCAGATCAGGACAAGCACGCGTTACTGCCTGGAACGCCTGTTTATTGTACGTCGGGGTGTCTAAAAACAAAAAATAAGACACCCCCCATTCCCCCCCC